TCAGTCTCAGGCAATCCACTCACCTCAGCCTCCCAAAGGCGCGGGATTACAGGCTGAGCCACAGAGCCCGGCTAAAGTGCATTTCTTACAGACAATGTATAATTAGATCCTATATTTTTATTCAATCAGACTCTGCCACTTAATTGGGATATGGGTCACTTATATTTTCTGTGATTGTTGAGACGGTTCAGTTGAAATCTGCCATGTTCTTGTCCACATCACTTAGCAATGGACAAAGTGTATCAGTGGAATATAGTATTAGCAATACAATTGTTAGATTACAAAACATGTTCACGCATATTTTGATAGATGTTGCTAAAATGCTCTTTAAAAATTATACACATGTATTCCCAACAGCTGTGTAAGAGGAAGTGCTTCCCTCGAGGTTAATCATGCCATCATAGTGATTGACATTCTTTAGTTTCTCCACATACAGGTAAAACATGGCATCTTCATTACAGTTTAAAATTTTTTTAATGATATATAATAGTTGTACATATTTTGAGGTGACGTGATATTTTGATACCTACATGCAATGTGTAATGATCAAATCAGGGTAATTGGGATATTGATCAGCTCAAACATTTGTCTTTGCTTTTTGTTGGGACCATTATAATTCTTCTCTTCTAGCTATTTTAAAATATGCAATACATTATTATTAACAAGAATTTCTTTATTGTATCATTGAATACTGGAACGTATTCCTTCAATCTATTTTTTGTCTCTTTATACTTTTAATTCACATTTCCTCACCACAAAAGCAATCTCATGTTTACATGTTTCTTGCTCTTTAAACTGTGTCTTTATACTCTTTATGCATCTTCCAAGACTGCTAATTTTTATCTTACCGGCACTCTTTAGATGTTAAGAAGTTAAGTTGGTTGTATATAATATGAATAGCCAATATTTTCTATCATTTATCATTTTTCTTTTAACTTTTTAGGGTTTTTTTGTACACGTCATTTTTTTTTTCTTTTTTTACTTTTCTGTAGATAACATGTCTTTTGCTGTTGTGACTTTTACATGTGATGTCACATTAGTTCTAGGGGTCTTTCCAATTCAACAATTAAAAGAAAACATCTCTTCACGCTTTCTTCAAAGCGTTTTAATCTAATTAACTGACATCAGATGGAAGTAGGATTCCAATTTATTTACTTCACCTGGCTTCCAAGTTATTCCAAAACTATTTGCTGAATGATCTGCTGCTTCCTTCCTGATCTCTGATTTAAAACATTTCCTGCTTCAGAGTAACTTGCCTTACGGATTTGCGATGCGCTTTATTTCTAGTTCATTCTGTTGTTTTTCCCTGTCTTACAATCTTGCTTCTCATGCAAATATTTAACTCAGGCAATTGCTTGTTAATTATGTTTTCATCTAAGGCAAGATATCTGGCCACAGATTTTTTTCATTTCATGGGAACGTTTTTCTGGTGTTTCTTATGCCTCGTTTTTCAGATTCCTTTCCCCTTTTGTTCTTGAGATGCATTTTACAGATTTTTGGACAGCTCTTTTTGAATATGTTCTTTCTGGACTAGCAACAGAAAGCCCACGCAAGCAGTGCCCAGGCTAGCAAGAAGTCGCCCTGTGTGTAGGTCACTGGTGTGCGTGGTTTATCTGAGCTTCTACTTGCTCCTGACCAGCGAAGACTGACAGCTGCGGAAATGGACGGTGGCGGGTTTCTTACTGCGTCCCTGCCTCGGTTGCCCCCAGGTCTGCCAGTCTCTTGCACACGGCTCACGGGGGCGACTCCTCTGCTCTGCCCTCTTTGCTCTCCTTTCTGCCTATCCGAGTCTGGGGAAACTTCTGGGCTAAGTCTGCAACTCACCTTCCTGGTCCCAAATAAGAGCTCCGTGCTCTTGAGGTGCAGGCGGGTGCTTTCCAGCGAACAGCGTCCTGTCAGTGGCACCTGCAGCTTGGCGTGGTGTTGCCTCCACATGCTGCCGAGGGCTGAGTTGACAGGCCACTCCCGGCTTCAAAACACACTGAGCTTTTCACTCATGCTCTCGCCTTGGAACTCTACTCCAGACTAAGCAAAATGGTCTTAGTCATGTTAAAAGTGGAAGCCACTCCCATGGCTTTAACATCGCTAATCTATTTTTTTCTAGCCCTGACCTCAACCCTAAATGCAAAGTTGAAAATCCCCACAAATGTCGATCGGCCAGCTGCATGTGGACGTCCCACAAGCATCCTAAATCAATACGCTGCCACCAGGACAAGGTCATCGCTGGTTCCCGTAACAGGACGGCAAGGCCGTCCTCTCATGCCAGACACTGCTCTCTGGTCCACTCTGACCCACGCGTTCCTTCCATCCTGGCAGAGCTAACGCAGAGCATTTCTCACCGAGGGTCTCGCCGCCCTCTCTGCCTGGAAAGTTCCCCAGGCAGAGCTGCCAACCCTCAAGATCCACGCCAGGTCTGCTCCTGAGAGGCCCTCCCTGGACACCATGTCTTGAGAAGCCCACCCCCAGTGCCGGTCCCAAACACGGCAGCAGCCCAAGCATTTTCTGGACGGTCCGTTCCCAGACTGACTGTTGCCCACACCCTGTGCTTGTTTCAAGGCTGAGGGCGAAGCCCCTGCACCTCCACACCCCTGGCCCACGACACCGGCCCCACGAGGGCAGGCCCGGCCTGTCTTCTGCGCTGTCACACACCCGGCATGCAAAGCCATTCTCGGCATGGCACAGACACTCAGCAGATTCATGGCACTTAGTGG